GTCACGCACGCATGCACATCCGTGTGGCCGACAGGCGCCACCGGGTGACGGTGTGTGCGTGCGTAGCGTAACGCCATGCGCCAGCTGTAGCCGCGCCGCGGCACTTACCACCGCGTGAGTGTGCGTGCGTGCGTGTACGCGCGCCTGTGTCTGTGCGTGATAAACCGGGCGTGTGCGTGCATACGTTCCGCTCCTCGTGGCGTCGATGAGCTCGCATTTTTCGCCGTCGTCGTCGCGCCGCTCGAAGACAACGGTGGCTCCACGACGACGATGACGACGACGGCGCGACGAATAACGTGGCAGATCGAAGCCTCGATAATAAAGCGATACTTTCGACTAATCATCCGGAACGGTGTCCCGTCGATGAATTCATCCTTAGGCGCGATTACGTTTCTCCGATCATGATTATACTCGCTCGTCGGGAAGATCCCACAATTGAATTATGGGGAGCGAAAGGACGACGATGCGCGCGATCCGTAAAGTCCATTAGCGACTGCGATCGCGGATCGAAATTAATTAACCGAACGACCGGACAGACGAGACTCGTTTTCGTCGAGCGCGCGCTGAAGAGACGACAACGACGACGAGGTCGTCGTATCAGGGGCGCCGCTATTATACTGTACGCGAATAGATTAACGAGCGATTCGCCGAACGCATACGGATTAATGACCCTGCGATATCGAGGCTCGTTGCCATAGCGCTTGCCGAAGATGCGAAATGCATCCGAGGAACTATAAACGGCCGGCGAAACGATTCCGTGGAATTGACGATCGGCTCTCTCTCTCTCTCTTTTTTTCTCTGCTTGTTTAAATACACACCACGATCAAGAGCGAAGGCATATTTCGCGTCAACAGTCAATTAACCGATCGAATATTACTCCGGTCTGAAAAGAACGCATCTCTGAATGACGATATCGGGGCGATAAGCGCAAACTCTCGCTGAAGACTACGTGTTGTTCCCGGGGAATACAGGGTGAGGCAACAACCATCGTCACTTTGAGTGTCTTCGAGAAATACAAATATTTTACTAACGACTTGATGATGTAAAGATGGGAAAAATTTATATTTACAGGTGTACAAAGTACGATAACTATCAGTACGCAATTTTTTCTACACTGAGGAAAAAAATACTTTGATATTTTTTGCGGTGTGCTAGACGAATTTTCCTCTTACACGGAGAAAACGGTTTCTTTGGGTTTAGTATACGCGTTTATTTGATTTGGTTATGTTTAATATAAACAGTGTAATTCAGTATCAAATATTTTGATAGAATACTTGAAATGAAAACGTTGTTTCATTTTTAAAGGGAATAATATTTCATTTTTAAAATAAAAATTTAAAAAATTAAAAATTAAAATAAAAAAAAAACTAAAACTTTTAAAATAAAAAAACTAAAAACTTTTAAAATAAAAAAAAACTTCATTTTATTATATATTAAATATTACCCCGCGCTCTGAAACACACAAAGAAGTTCTTCAATACTTTACAAGTAACACAATGTTACTCCTTCCAAATAATTTGCTGTTTGTGACAATCATTGTAATGTTTGGATGAAAACAACAAAAAAAAAACATGTTACTTGACGTAAAGATATTTATCGTTCGAGTAACCACACGATCCTGTTTATTGAATTAAATTTGCCTGTTCTAAAAGACAAGTTCGTCTCAATTTAAAAAATCCTATCAAATCCAAAGAAATCGTTATCCCCTCGTACTCTGACACTCCCGAAGATATCGACTATTTAGAGATAAAGTGACAATAGTTATTGCCTCACTCCGTATACCACGGCCATGTCCCCGAGTTCGTTGCTCGTAGTTGTTCACCACGGTTCAGCCGGATCTACTTAGTAACGAGTCCTTTATTTGTAACGCGGATGATCGTTGCGCATTCGGGATCGCGCACCGAGCCCCTTCGGCCGGCGTTTATTATACGAGTGCATTCACGAGTGCATTCGCTGGGTTTCAGGGATTATCCGGAGAGGAAAAGCGAGCGAGAGACGAGCGCGGTGTGTACGCGGACGTGCAACAAGCGTGTCGGTAAGCACATACACACAACGGAGTATATAGGTAACCGCGCTATGTACTCCGCTATCCACGCGCCTAGCTGGCGCCCGACGTATACTTTATCGTCTTTCTAAACTCCGCTATCGGGAGCGCCGGAGCGACAAAATTTCTTGATATTTATTATTTCGCGCACCGCGCCGCCGCCGTATGCTTTTGTCCACGGCTACTCTCTCTCTCTCTCTCTCTCTCTCTCTCTGTGCGCGCGCGCAGACATGAATAACTCGAAGAAAACTAGGGACGGAGATGCTGGCGCGTACGTGAGAAATAATAAATTACACACCGCCGTCGAGACGAGAACGCTAAAAATGCTGTGCATCGCTATAAAGTACCGTCGTCGTCGCTGTGTGCGCGCGAGCGCACACGCGGAGAACATGTGCGTGATCTTTCGGAAATTCGCGACGATTGTTAACCTCTCTAGAGACGAGTGATAATCTGAAGGAAATGATTTAATTTTGAAGTGACATCCGGTCGGCCGTTTAACGGGACTTCATTTTTTGGTTCGGTGGAATTTTTGGGTGGTGATATTTGTTAGCAGTAATGTTCGTTGTATTTTCTCCGACAATGTCTGAGTTAAAGAAGAAGAATTTAACAAAGTTATTAAACAAAGTTATTAAAGCATTATAAGAATTGTACAAAGCATATACATGTGTTACGGTAACTCTGAGAAGGTTTAAATGTTTATCACAATTAAATACTCAACAGTAGCATTACAACAATGTAACAATTTCTCATTCAAATATAACTGTTATGTATAACGTATGTTATATTACATTTACATTGTTGAGTGAGAAATTATAACGTTCACGTAATGGTACTGTTAGTTGATGTTTACTGAGTATTGAATTGTGATAACCTTTTTAACTCTCTCAGGATTACTGTGGTATAGCCAACTTGATTTCCTATAATATATATGAAAAAAAGAATTGCTACGTTCAAGTAAATATTAGCTGAGAAGTATCGGAGTAGTTTATTTTATTTGGATTAAGCATTACTGGCACACTGAAAGAAAAGTGCTGTATTCAAGTAATATTTATTTAATCCAAATAAACTGCTCCAAAATTCCTTGATAAATATTTATTTGAACGTAGCAATTCTTTTTCAATGTACAATCGAGTTATTGAAATGAAAAGTTAAAAACTTCCTTTCTCTCTTATCTGAAGAGGGGAGGGAGGAGAGAGAGAGAGAGAGGAAAGAACTTTTGTTTTTATCTTCTTTCTCTTATTGATTCCACTTACTACAGATTCTTGCTTCTATTATCGTCGCCGCCGGTTCTATTCTCTTCCTATTACTAATCATGGTCGTTAGAGGAGGCAGAAGTAGCGCACTGGTCAACGTTGACGCTAGCAGGCGCCGTTCGCGAATGTAAATCTATCGATCGATCGTGAATCACTTGCGCGTCGCGCGACGCGAGCGTTCCTCCCGCACGCTCGGCTCCGGTAAACGATTTTATTTCTCGCGTTGAGCATTCCACGAACGACGATCGACCCCCTTTCGAGGTAGTTTACACTATCGCCTAATAGCCTTGTTTTTTTTTTCTTTTTTCCGTTCGCAACCGAATCGTTTTAGCGAGCTCCTTGGCGCCGAGCGGCAGCACGTGAGTCTCTCGCTCTGCGGGATACGTGTATTGTCTCACGATTGAACGATTTACGTTTTTGCGAGAAACGAGAAGTTTCTTCTGCTTCAATAAAAATTACACACGTATAAACATACACACAAGGAGGAGATGGAATATTTTATTATCCTCCGACGGAGAGGAAGAGAGCGAAAGTGTGTGTGTGTGTGTGTGTGTGTGTGAAGTATGTATGAAGTATAAACGCGTGCCGGAGAAAACGCTTATCGCGTTTTGATAAAATTTCTTTCTGAATAGATCGATTTAACGCGTTATCGCGCTTTACAGTTGCGAGAATACGTGCAATGTTGCATGTGAACAAACAGCTCGTTGTCTTGCAAATCCATCGCTCGATCGTGCGATTTGCGGGAGTCGCCAGTGGAATTTTCGACCGGATTTTCCACCGGAAATCGGGAAAAATCCCGATATAAATTCCCGATTTCCAGCTAACACACGCGCCGCTACTCTCGTTATTGCGCGAACATGCGATCGAATTAATACGGTAACCACCTATTCTCGAGGAGATATACGCTATCGCTAAATTCGCAGGAATTAGCAAAACTAGCGTGCCGGGCACGTGCGTCGGCCGTATTTCCTGCGATCATTTGCACGCAAGTATCTCACCTTCGCTAGTAACACATATACACACACACACACAATATGACCATACTCTCGTGCACAAGTGCGTCGAAGCAATTCGCGAAAGCGGCCGCCTGTCATCGCGGAGCGAGAGAGACAGAGAGCGAAGGAAGCGTGTCTGTGATTAGAGGCGACGGACAACTAACGAAATCGAAACGCCGAAGAAACCGAACGCGTTTTCCGCTCTCACACACCCGCTCTGATTTGCCCGGCGGGAAAACTCGTAACGTCACATCGCCGGGAGGAAGAAAAAGGGAAAGAAAGAATCACGACGATGCGATTGGCGCGCGAGGCGAAAGGCCTGGAAAACACGTTCCGGATTTTATCATATCGAAGCCGCCGCCGTGCGATAGAATCGCAATTACGAAAGCAGGTTATATATCCTCGCGGTTCTTCGGCGACCAGCGCGAGCGAAATCGCGGATCGAAGATCGCGATTGGCGATACGCGCTCGGATTAGAATGCCGAGGGAACGGCGGTCCAGCAACAAAGCTCGAGAGAGCTTGCGACACGGCCTCAGCCTCCGTGGACACGCGCGGTGGCTCTTTAGCTACCGTCTTTTCCCCTCTTCTCCTACTCCTCTCTTCCTCACTTCGGCGCGTGAATTTCCCTCGCGATGAAGCGGGCAAGCCGCGAAATGAGATCGCGTGATCGATCGCACGCGGATGAAGAGAGAGAGAAGGCGCATTACCGTTATCGGCGGATCTGGCCTCGTCGTCGGCGAGCACCTCGTAATCCTCCGGGTCCAGGTGGTTCGGCGCGCCGCTTACGACGACGGCGACGACGAGGCTTGTCATCACCGTCGCCAAAGTCACCAGGTCGCACGGCAACATCGCGGCGAGCGCGACGAGTCGCAGTCGCTACGCCGGCGGGGCAGGAGTGTCTCAGGAAGAGCCTCGGTCGCGCGCGACTCCGGTGTCTTCGTCGTCCGTACGATGCTTTCCGGGAGATCGGGCATGTGTCTCTTCTTCTCGAGGGATTAAGACGCTCTTGTCATCGCGGAGCGCGCGATCGCGTCGTTATTATCGCCTCGGCGATCGGTGGCTCGTTCCCGCGCTGATTACCGCGTCGAGCATAACGCGATCGCGGCGGAAAAACAAAGGTAGAGAGAGAGAGAGCGACTCGCGAATGCACCGAAGAGAGCGCGCCCGACTTCGACGATGTTCGGCGGCTGACTGACTGACTCACTGTCGCGCCGGCTCGCCGCCGCCAGTCGACTCGCACGCACCCGCCGGCACCCGCTTTCAAGAACACTCGCCTCGGATACTTTTTAAACCGGGGCCGGCTGCCGCGGCGCCGCCGTTGTGCGCGCGCCCGCGCACCCTCGTCGCCGCGCGCCGCAATTCGTTCTCTCTCTCTCGCACGGATGCGAGGTAATTATCCCCGGTTACTCCGATTACTTTGTCAAAAGTTCAAGTCGTTTCCGCCCGGGAGGTGTCACAGTTGTCTCCTCCCGATCTCTCGTCGCCCGGTTTTCGACTCTCCGATCGCGTGACGCGTTGAAAGTTTCGTATATAATTGCACACACAGGAAAATACGTATTAATATGCATTCCAGTAAATGTTACTTGTTTCGAGTACTTCTGAGTTTATATATCCGCACGTATATCACACAAGTTCACCATAAGCATCAAATTATTCAAAATTTATTGTGAATTCTACTATATATGTGTGTGTGTGTGTGTGTGTGTGTATATATAGTTTCATATTTACTTCCTTGATTGAAATACTAAATTTATATGTATAAATTTGGTTTTTTTAATTAAGAATATTAAATATTGACAAACTTAAGTTTGCTTATTCTAGTTAATCGAAGATTTAACATTTTCTCAATAAAATTTATAATATTCTCAAAAAGGGAATGAATTTTTTTCTAGTACGTGTTCACAAGTATTTCTATATTTTATGATAAGTATTGTTATCGAGAAAATATTCTTTGCTGAAAATAATTATTATTTAAAAGAAGGAAAGTAAACTGAGGAATCGCCTTTCTAAGCAAAATAGAACGATATTCTTCTCTGGTACACAAAGAGGAGTTATTTAAGTGCTGTCTACATAATCCGTGTCTACCGACATCGATTAAATCTTTAACCTGAGTTTGAACGTTCCTTAAGCAACAACTTAAACTTAGGTTGAGATTTAATCGATAGTAGTAGAAACAGACACAGTATACACATATATATATATGTGTGTGTGTGTGTGTGTGTGTAGCGACACAAGTCACTAAGCATCATCTTGTCTGTCACTCAACAAGGACAGAACGACGTTTGCGTCGACTTGGGTCACTGAGTGAAAAGAAGCCGTGTTCGAGTAGATACGAACGATTTTCGTAGAAAAGAAAAACGTAGGAAGAGAAGGGAAGAATAATTCCGCACAGTCGTTATCAGGTAGCGAGACGATGAAGCGCGCGCGCGCTCGTAGGACTCAATTATTTTCCCGAAGAGTGGCGTGCCACTTACATTAACGACATTGTATACATCCGATCGGCCGGCGCGGCGGCTCTCGCAAGACGCGCGTGTGCCAGTTAAAGGCGAGCTGGTGGTGTGGGTGGGTGCGCCGTTTGTCGGCGATAAGTCGGTGAGAGAACAGCGGAACGGAAGGGGAACGGTGGCGCCTGAGTCCTGCGGCGGAACGTCACAGCCAAAGTGACGCGACGGCGACGCGTCGCGGCGCGTCCTGTCGCGTCTTCGTCTCCTCTTTCTCCTCCTTCTCCTCGCGCGCGCGTTCCTATCGATGGGTCAGTCATCGGGTGGTAACACGCCAAGTCTCCTTCCTCCTTCTTCCGCCACAATGTGGCGCGCTCTTGCCTCTTGTTATTGTTCCCCGCTTTAGTCTAAATACAAGGCTTGAAATAGCGACACAACGCGTCGTTGTTTAGACGTCCGCTTTTCGGCCGAGCGTCAGGCAATTAGCCGTCCGTTCCTTTGCCGTGGCGCGATACCGCAGCCACCGCCCAGCTTTGACTTATTCTCATTGCAGCAATACATCTGCTCGTTACGTGAAAGAGCCCGAGGGTAAACACACGATTTAGCGGCGATTTAGCGCGACGGATCCGGCGCGCGCGCGCAAAATAGTCGAAGGCAGCGCGAGAAACGCGGTCTCGTTTCCGATTGTAGGTCGGGATCGTTTTGTGCACACCATTCCGCTCCGTGTGTGAGTATTTATACGCGTCTCTCGTGTATTTTAATCATTCCCATACAAAATGCACTGTTTTGTACAGCCAAGAATAGATTTGATCTTTCCCTTCGCCGTGAGACCGCGAAAAACTGCACTGCTAAAATTACAAAGATATATACGTACCGATTCTTTTTTTTGCGACAGGCTGTATATTAAAATCACAAAGACGTACACCTCGATTTTTCAAATCCATTTCTTGCAACGAAATTATACATTAAAATCACGAAATTATACATTAAAATTACGAAATTATACACTAAAATTACAGAGATGTATACTGATTTTTTAAAGAAGTCTCATTTTTAAAAGGCAAATTATGAATGCCACAGCTGAATATCAATCTGAATTGAAAAACCTCTTAAAAGCAGCAAAACAAGAAAAAATTACTAAGTTCTTTAAACCCTTGCCTAAGCCTGACAATAATTAGTAATAGATATTGTTAAAAATCACTTATTAAATTTATTTTATTCTGATATTTTTTTTATATTTTGGAACCATGGAACGTATCCCCTATAATCCTATACAAATTACCATTCCATATCCACGGATTCTGTATTCGCGGCAAATTTATGGAACATATCCCCCGCGAATAAAGAACTTTTACTGTATATATATATATATACATATATATCCCGATTTGTTTTTACACACACCAATTAATTATATTCTGCCTAATCTATAGCTACGTGAGAGTTCTTAGAGAGCCACGTACAGTTTCCGCGCATAGAGCACATCCCTTCGGTCATTTATTCACGCGACTTTATTCACGTTCGATAGAATTCCTCCGCCACGATGACGTTGCGCGTACGTTATTCGATCCGGCGTATATGTACGTACGTGCGCGTGTGTACGTCCGGCAACCCGGAGAATGAGTAATTACGTCGAAACGCGTCCGGGCCGGGGCACCTGGCCGGGGCCAGTGGTCGGACCTCTCGACGGCCCCTCGTTCAATGGCAGCCAAAAATTCGGGCTGCACGGTTCAGCCGACGTTAGTCATACGATGTGTAGAACAAAGGACGGCCAGCCTGACGCTCGTTCGTTCTCCCCCTCAGGAAGCTTCGTCAAACACGCATCGGCTCTCTCGCATCCCGACTCGTCCATCATGTGGCTGACGTGGCTCTTCTGGGACCTCCCCCGCGGTATCCAGTAATTCCTAAATAAAGATAAGCGAGGCCTCGTTAGATGCGGCGGCACGCATAATTTAGGACGACGGGCCCCTCTGCTCTCCTCTCTTCTCTCTCTCTTCCTCCTCTCGCGCGTACAGGACGAATTGTAATCAGGGAATTCGACTCTAACGATTTGGCTTGATTGCTTCGCAATCTTCACGATCGAAATATCCGTCACGCGTTACGATACCGATCACCGGGATCCTCAGAGCTCTCTATAGCTGAACCAGTGCTGCCTGGAACTCCGATGCTTTTCCTTTCAATCAAATCTGTAACATGCTTCACTCTCTCCGACGAAAAGTGCAACCTAGTTCAGCTACAAAGAACGGACTTGGAGTATCGCGCGTTACCGTAGGTTCAACTTGTTCGCGTTCTTAGTAATATTATTGCCTACTATTATTGCGATACTGAATCTTCCGCCGGCGCTACTGCTGGGACCTGAAAGCTATCCGGCGAGCGTAACAAAAAATCGCTTTAATGCAGACTCGGCCGGCCGGACTGTCGGCGGCGGTTATCTCCCGCACGGCCGGCTTCTATTTATATTTTCTGTTCGTTAGTCGATCAGCGGCATACGATCAAGGCGAGAATTATATCCGCGAGCGTGAGCAAACGGAGGCGCGTTTTAAGAGCAACTCTCGAAAGCGAGTGTGAGACACTGCACGATCGCGCAGTAGGCGCACAATGCTTTCTTTTCAACTTCGTGAGCACACACCGGACAGGTTTGCGTCCCCGCCCTATTTTTCGCATCACGATGCGCTAGATACTTTACCTATAGTTTCTTCTCCGTTCGATTCCCATTGAAGGAAAGACAATTATCCTACCACAATTATCCCACGATGAATCGCAATGTAATTGAGACTCGGCATCGCGTTTGCAATTAATTTACACTGTCCATTGTGTAACGGTTACTCCTGAGAAACCTACAACACGGAATGTTTTAATTAAAATGTAATTTTAATAGAAGAGAAGCTATTAGAAGGTATTATGGCTCTTGTAGGGGGG